ATCCAACTTCATTCCAATTAAGCTAACCCAGTGACCAGGATGGGAAGTGATACAGCTTTTATTCTTCTACTGAATCCTAGTCCAGTGTCTTATCTATAAGAACAACTTTCTTCTTGACCTACAGATTTTTCTGAAGGGCTAATCCAATGATTAAAATAAACTAGCTGTTCAGTAAGGAGTTTTCTACAATAGTCTGAATATTAAAGAAGCTCAGTATCAAGATCACTGATGCCACTTCAGCAATTATTCTCAAAATGTCCTGAAAATGTAGATAGCTGATCAAAATTAAGTTTCCTTAACTTACCCTCAACACTTGGTTGTTTAAGTACAGAGTTAGGTGTACTAGATATGTGAGCCTCCTGAAAAGGTTGAACAGCAGAACAACATTCAGAGGAGATACTGGAATTTGGATTAGGACCAGTTGGACTCATCATCCTTTCAAATGCCTGTGCTGAAAGGAAAAAAAAAACAAAAACAACCCTGTGGTTGAGGCTGAAGATAAGAGTCAGTACCAGAAACAGATGCTCCCGTTTCCATCTACCATCTTCTCTGTTTTTGTTGTTTCATCAAGGAAGTAGGAATGGAATCTATACCATTGCTACAGCCCATAATAATCAACTTTTCTATTCTCACAAGAATGAGTTAATACTAGTTTTAAAACTACCCAAAAGATAAATCAAAACAAAGGATTTTCCCTTATAAAACACACAACTGAAGGGAAAGGAGATCAAGGATATTACTAAAATAAGCCTTACTTAATAGCTTTCAATGCTATCCCTCAAAACATATAATACATTCTCATCTTTTTCTTCCTCCTCCTGTATCTTTTTTGTTAAAGGTTTAATAGTGGCTGTTTTCTATGGAACCAAGTAGGCTGAGGTCCCTGTATTCAAAACCCTAAACAATGTTAAATTGTTTCCTATTATACAGCAATGGGTTTTGTTAACATCTCGACTCCCAGCACAGTACACTACACAGTAGCTATAGGATACTTGTATTCCAGCACAGTAGCCGCAGGGAAAGGTCTTCCAGTTGAGCATATGGGAAATTATTGTGGCTATGACAGAGCACGAAGGAGAGACTGAAAACCATGGCCATGTGTAGACAAAACGAGGTGCATGTGGGCACAACACTTTAAAGCAGGTTAAATACTTTTGCACCGCTTTAATGGTGCTGGTGTTTTCACATGTTGGTACAGTAATTCCAGCCGCCATAGCAAATTTGGCGGCGTAATGTGCCTTATATGAATTGGGGCGCAGCAAACTAAAACTGCTCCTCCTCCGAGGAGTTTTAGTTTGCTGCCCTACAGCTGCGGAGTGAAGCACTGGGCTCTGTGCAGCTCAGGGCTCTGCCAGAAGCCCATGGAGGCAGCCTGGCAGAAGCCCAGGAAGGCTGGCTTCACCCAAAATCCCTCCCCCGCCCCGGAGCCTGCCTGAACTGCACAGGGGCCCAGCGTTTCCCTCTGCAGCTGTGGTGCCCCCCAGGACTGCCTGAGCCGAGTACCTGCAGGCAGGTGCCACCTGGGGGTGGGCTGCCACTGTCAGAGAGAAGCACCAGCCCACCTCGCAACCCAGGGACTGCTCCACCAGCCAGCAGCTCACCTTCCCCTCCCCACCGCCAGGGAGGCAACTAAGTTTGGGTGTGTGCACAACACAGGGGTTTAGAGGGCCCTAAATTAAAAGCGGTGTTTTTAAAAACCCACTGCTTCAGTTTAGGGCCCCTGTTTCATCTACACATGCCCCATGATATGTACTATCCAGGCAAACTGTTACAGTCACTGTCTTAGGAAGGCAATACCTTCTCTTTGGTAGACAAATTCATCTTTCTTTTCCAAAGTATTCACTTCACCAGAAGTTAAGAAACAAACAAACAAACAAAACCATGACTACTTAACTTTTTACCTTTATTGATAGATTTGTAGCACCCAATACAGACTCTTGCTTCCTTTTCCATATACTGTAACTTGCACCTCCGATTGCAACAGACACCACAAAAAACCTGAATTAGAACAAAACTTAAAATAAATATTACAAGAAATAATGCCCTCTATAGTTAAAAGATTACTAGCACCTCCCACTAACAGACCCTGTTTTCACTTGTTTATATCTTTAAAACTACTTTAAGTTACACATGTCATTGTGGGAGACCATTTCTGAAAAAAATGGTCCAGCCATTTCTTAAAATGAGGCTGAGAGAAGTGGAGGGAGAAGGGAGAACGTTTTGCTCATCTTAAAAACTTTGCTTATAGCTGTTTAATTTAGAATCTTCAACATCCCCGTGCTTTTGGAATGAGACTCAAAATTTAGCAGGGATTGTTTGTGTGCCAGCAATAAACATGAACCTGTCCTCCTAAAAATGCACCAAAGTTTGGAAGCAGGTCTTGATACATTCAAAGGACTCATTGGAGTTTCAAGCAGATAAGCCTGAAGCATTTCTCTCCTAATGCAGGGATTGAGGGTGCATGAAACTACACATTCAACTACTGAGCAAGTCTCATCAGGCACCTATATACCCATATACTCTCGGGAGCCGCTCCAATTTAAAATGCCCACAGCTTCTCTTGTATTCCGCATCTCGCATTTCAAAATAGTGGCAGAGGTGTTCATTCGAGGAGCTTCAGTTAAAGTACCCCCGCCGCCATTTTGAAGCGTGAGATGCTGAATGCAGAAGCTGCAGCACACTGGAGCCTTCCAATTAGAGATGCTTCAGCAGACTCAATTAACTGAGTCTGCTCTCAAGCATTCTAATCAGCACATGGCAGAGCACATGTAAAAGTGCCCACCGACATTTGAAAGGCACCAAAGATGAGTGTCTATCTTTGGTATAATAATCCAACAGGAGGCTATTTCCTGGAGTCCTTAGAGCATTTTGGGCCTGACACAGTCCCTGTAAAGAGTGGAAAGCTCCCAAGACAGAGGTTTCTTTGGAACCATCAGAGAAATTAGCCAAACTAACAGCCTCTGTTGAGCATGTGCTATGTGTAAAGGATATGCTCCAGCCCAACCTTGCTGGTTCTGAGCAGGACTTTCCTTACAACTGTTCTTATTCTGCTGCCACAAACTCAAGAGCAGGAAGCCTGACCTGTGCTATCCCTAATGTAGTTCACACAACACAGTAGAAGAAACAAAGAAATGAGCAAGGCATGGATATGGAGAACTGTGCTGAAGGAAGTAGATTCCAACAGCTATCCGTGGGAGAAAATTGGAAAAGGCCTGAAAAGGCCATAGTTACAGACATGGAAACACCTAGTCAAGACATGTGGATGTCAATATGATTCCATGTGATTACATTTTTCCTCTTTTGCAGTTTTTTTTAAACTAAAGAAAATCACACAGGAAAAATGCTCCACTAGGTTAAGTTACCAAGTGCCAGACTTAAGATAATCCATGCGCCTTTGACTTTACCATGTGCATGAGCTATGACATTTTTCCATACAACCTCTGCCTTAAGTCCACAACAGAGTAGTAAGTATAAAATATAGCTATATAACAAGGTAGGGATAATTTAATGCAGCAAGTTAAGCAGTGCAACTGAAGACACTAGAGTTGGTACAGTAAGTGAGGAAGGGGACTTCAGGAAGAAAAAGATCAATCTTATAATTAAGGTAGATGAATGCTGTCCTAGAGAAATAGATTCTCTCTCTGCCTCTGTGACAGGAGTTTATGTGACATTAGGCAACTTGCTTAAACCCAGGTATTCAGAGGAGGTGACTAACACTATTCCTTATTTTTAAGTGACCAATTTAAGATCCCAGGTTCAATTTGCAAGAGTACTGAGCCCTCGCAGCTACAATGGAAGTCAGTGGGAACTGTGCTTTAAACAAAGTGCTGGAATAATATGAAGTATTCGGTGGGAGGGGGTGTAGAGGGTGGGAAAATAGGTTTTAGGAGTCTCTAAGTGGACACTCAAAATCAGCACACTTCACAATGATCTCAGTGCCACATGCACTGTAAAATTAGAACAGTGTTAATCCTCACCTTACAGGAATGAAAGGAAGATGCATTTGTTAACATATGTCAAGTCCTCAGATGCCATAAGTGCCATTTAGAAGCCTATGAGAAGGTTAATTTTGTATTCTGAGCAGGCTTTAAACATTATGCAGTAAAAATGGAAAGAGACCATAAACTGAATAACAGTGATAAATGCTGAACAGCCTCTCCTTATATGAATGCCATCCATGCTGTGGAAAAACAGAGCATGTAATCTAGATATCAGGAAAAACTTCTTCACAGTAAGGGTGGCCAAAATTTGGAATGGGTTTCCAAGGGAGGTGGTGCTCTCCCCTACCTTGGAGGTCTTTAAGAGAAGGCTGGATAGGCATCTGACCCCAGCGCTCTTTCCTGCCTAGGCAGGGGATCGGACTCGATGACCTGTTGAGGTCCCTTCCAAATCTATGAATATCATTAAAAAAACTGCATAATGTCACAACCCAAAGGTGTGATTTTTGTTGTGTGTGTGCTTTGGCACTGCTAAACTATTTTCCCGCCAAATTGCAGCTTCTTTGCACGGTGGAGTTTTCTGCTGTAAAGGAGAACCCCGGTGCAAGGGAGAATTTCCCGCCAATTTGTAGCTTTCTTTGCATAGTGCATTTCTTTTTGCATCTAAGAAATGCTCGGTGCAAAGAGTTCCCGTCATTTGTATTATAATTCGAGCCCCATTATTGGCTTGTGTTAAATTATTCCACCGTGGCGGCTAGTGATTGGCTTGCTAGCCGTATAAGAGGCTTGAGTGGTTTCCGCCCAAGTTGGAGGACTCCACGAACACCAGGAGGAGGAGACTTCACGTCTCGTGAAGATCTCTAAGCGCTGCGGAGCCTATTCGACCCAGCGTGAATATCAAGCAGGCAACAGGGGTCTGATCATCCTCTAGCCTCTCCCCGTCACCGAGCGCAATCCTCGACGTATCCCTCTTCGCTGTGCACAAAAGATCCATGGAGCCTAGCAAACTTCGTGTGAGTGAATTGTGAGTGAATAAACGGACCCACGGAGCTTCAACAACTCCGTGGGAGAGCGCGAGCTTGTCGTAGTCCTCAAACGAGGATTTAAAATCGGAGCTGTGCCTGGAAAACTGTCCAGCCTACACCGCGACCATCTTCAGCGTAAGTAAATAATCTTTAAATCAAACTTTAAGCGTCCGTGCCTAATTCTAGCGTGTCGCCCGTTCTCTCCAACCCCGCGTGCCCGGGCTGCTGGCCACAGCCCACGTGCGCAAAAGGGCCGCGGATCACTCCCAGCCCACACACATAATACATAAGGTTATAGGGGTTTAAACTTTGTATTCTTTGATAGCACCTTGAACAACAGAGGCCTTCCAGCTCTATGAGGAGACACTATAATAATACTGATACTAATAATAAAAATCTCACCTCTGTTCTTGCATTTCTAATCCTAATTGCTTACCTTATTTTTTTTTTTTTAACCTAAGCATTTGTGTACACTTCAGAGGGGAAACAAACAGGAAAATTTAACAACAGCAAAGCTTATATTTTGTTACACTGGCCAATTTAAAAAGATTACCATATCATGGATTAATTGATTTCAAATGTCAATTATATTGGGTAAATTGCAACCTGTTTTTCCATCATCTGAAAGGCAGAGGAAACTTAATATACCCAGAAAGAGAATAATGTTTAGTAATGAACTTTAACTAGTTATTAATGGAAGATAAAAAGCTTTCCTTCAACTGTATTTTCAAAGAATGAAATTTTACTTTCTCTTTACATTTGCAGAGCATAAAACTCATCTGTTACGCTCTATGAATTTTATTAAAGCCAAGTCCAAGTTCCAAGGCGCCCCCAGGGGTTACAAGCAATAATGGCCACAAGCTAGCAGAGAGCAGATTTAGACTAGACATTAGGAAGAACTTCTTCACAGTTCGAGTGGCCAAGGTCTGGAATGGGCTCCCAAGGGAGGTGGTGCTCTCCCCTACCCTGGGGGTCTTCAAGAGGAGGTTAGATAAGCATCTAGCTGGGGTCATCTAGACCCAGCCCTCTTTCCTGCCTATGCAGGGGGTCGGACTCGATGATCTATTGAGGTCCCTTCCGACCCTAGCATCTATGAATCTGTGAATCTATGAAATGCTGCAAAAGCCTAAAAACTTGCATTAAACTTCTTCCCATCAACATCTGAATTATGCCCAAATCAGAACAATCTTATCGTAAGTTGTTTTAAATACACCATATAAGAGCATAAGTATTTTGATGCAAACTGTTTCTCTATAACTTACTTTTCCACAAGCACGACAGTGGTGTCTTCTTTTTGTAAATGTGAACTTGACTTGGCAGTTCATGCAGTTTGGTGCCTCTGAATCAGGAACCCATGATGGCTGTTTCTGTCCCAGAACTACAGCTTCTACACCTGCAGGTATTTGATTTTCTCCAGCTTCCAAACTATTTTCTATGTCAGAATGATTACATTTGGAACTTATGTCAGGACTAACTTTGGTGTCTGAGAAAGGAGCCTTTGGGAATACAGAATTCACATCTGGAGGTTCACTCTCAGGTATATTTGCCTTGCTTGCATCTCTCTGATCTACAGTTTTCTGAGGAAGACTGGGCAACTGCTTAGGTCTAGCACCTCCAATAGGTACATTAGGGACTGGTACTTCACTATTAGTCTGAGTTATTTCTTGCTGAATAACGGATGTATTTTGCTCTGTGGGACACTCAAATTTATAGTCAACGTCAGCTATTCTGCAAGTACTGCTAATACTGGGAACCTCCCTAATCTCCTTCAGTTTTATTTTTGTTTCTGTATCATTGCCGTTTTTAAAGTCTGGACTGTTCATATGTATTAAGTTAATTTGAATTGCATCAGATTCCAGCAGATCACCGATATTTTCTTCTAATGGTTTTGCAATATTGGGCTGAAGACACTGTTCATTTAAGAAGGCATCAAGCTCAGCATCACTTATTAATGTATCATTTTTAAAAAAGTCTTCCTCAATAGCTATATCATTTAAAACTAGATTAGCAATACTTTCAACACAACCATCAACTTGCTGAATATCAGTGCAAAATTCAAGTTTAGATTCTGTAATGGGAAAAACAGAAGCAGTAGCTTTGACTGGTAGAGCATTATCTTTGTTAATCATACTGGTAGTATCCCCCTTCTCTTCAGGTGTAAATCCATTTTTTTCTAAACAACTTTGGTTTAAATATTCTTCCTGTTCAGAAGATTCAGTCTTTTCATAGGGTTCCTTATTATGGAGGCCACTACTAGATCTTCCTGCATGCAGAGTCACAGTATCCCTGACAACATCTACTCTTTCATCTTGAAATATAGGGCCATTTGTGTCTTCTTGTACAACTAATGAACCACATATAGAAACAGCAAGTGGAAAACATGACAATGAGGTTTGGACTTCTTCAGCTAATACATGTGAAGCTGAAACACTGTTTAATAGTTCATTGGTTTTAAGTTTTGGCCTGCCTAAATTCTCTTCTGCACGTTTTATACTATCTGATACAACTTTCTCCTCTATTTTAAATGAAGAGTCTGCTAAAACACTTTTTCTAGATAACTCTATACTACTTTTGTGCAACTCAGAATTCTTTGGTAGATCAGAAGGCACAGACTCCACATTACCTTCATCTTCTGAATCTATATTTTCATCAGCACATCCTCCTTGCACCTCTTGACTTATTACACAGCATGCATTTTTATCTAATAATTCACAAGGCAAATTTTCATTTGTTGTATTGTCTTTGGAACTGAGCACATTCAGGGTCTGTGACGTTATGAAGAGAGATGTAGCAGTAAGGCCCGTTATTCGTTCCAGTTCATCAAAAGCTTGATCAGACTTTAAAATGTGTGTCCTAGTTTGATCACCACATGAATCCAAGTGCTTCACTTTGGCTACATTTGTTTTTAAAGCTAATTGGCTCAATTCTTTTGTTGCAAGATGCCCTACATCTTGTACTAGTAAGTCCCCACTCCTCTGCTGCACTGTGCTTGAAACATCACTGTAGTCTATTGATGAAATATGAATAGCGGCTGGTAAATCAAAGCCAATCAGAGAGTCCTTGGTATATTGGAAGCCCTCTGGTTGGGACTTCTGAATATCATCCTGGCTGCTTGCTGCACAGATAACATTACCTGTGTCATTAATGAGATCGCACACAGGTATACCACCTCTTCCCAGGCTTGAAGGCTGAATTTCATCTGAGGCACCACTATCCACAGTAGACAGAAGATCAAGCCCGGTGACATTCTTTTCATTTGGTGAGGAGAAATGTGGTTGTTCGAAGTTTGCTTCATTTGTTGCCACCTGACTAGTAAAAAAGATTTCTTCCGATACAGTATAACTACTATCATGTTCTTGCACTTTTGGTGTTAAGGATACAGGTTTTAAGTAATCTGATCCTGAAGAGAGCAAGTGGTGCTTTGAGTTGCACTGATCTGGAGCTGTCCTGAAGCAATCATTTTCATCTATTAAAAAAGAAAAAAGAAAACAAAAAAAGCAAAGTTCATAACACCTGATCCGCTTTCCCACCTCAAGAAACCCTGAAAATTCATTAACACAATCCCCCACCTCCAAAAACAAAAAAATCCACAACTAAAAGCACAGACCAAGTTAACAGTAATCCTGTATGAAAAAAGGAAGAGAGAGCAAACTAACCTGCATTCTCCTCAAATTCATCAAGTAGCTTGTCCAAGTCACAAACAGCTGCTTTAAAGTAATTGTCCATTCTAGTTACAGGTCTAGAGAGAGACTTTATCCCTCAAATACCTAAAAAATAGAACATTTCATTTATCTGAAGGAGGACTGATTCACAAACTGTTATTGAAACACCATAAAATACTTTTGGGAACATGAAAATGTACCTTTTACAATAAAAGCCTCACTATTTTTTGAGTAACTTCTCTCCCCACACGCCTGACCACAGAGATCAAAAACACTGCAACGTGCATCATCCTTTATACACAGCATGCTCTCATAAGAGCCTTCCCAGACAGAGAGAACACAGAATGGGGGGCAACTTAAGCACCCTTGCCAAACCCAAATGCATTCTAGATCAGAAGGGCTTACCAGGTCATCAAGTCTGATCACCCACAAGCCATTAAAAATTCACCTTCATGAATCTCAATAAATTGGGTTAAACTAATATAGTTCAGTTTTCAAGGAACTGAATTATTCATGTTCCCGGGACAGATATGAGAAACTGGTATGCCGTCAGGCCCGATACCACTGCATGTTATTTTGTATTTAACTACATTACAATGCACTGAACTGAATTGTGAACATTTAACCATGTGATTTAGAACAATGTACCAGTAACCTGCCCTTGTTATGTATTAGTACCATAATACTTGTTTTGCTTGCAGTTTGCAGCCAACATTTTAGTTAAAAATGAAAGCTTGTACTAGGAGTAAAGAAAACAATTAAATGAAACTGCTGCTGTATTTACCTGAATCCTTTGAATGACTTTGAAGGACTTAAAATCCTTAGATGACTTTAACTTTAAGGCAACCCCCCCAGTAATTAGATTTTATATGGAAATTCATGAATTTGCCATCTTAAATTTATCAACCTGCTTCTGTGGCAGGGAAAGCAATCAATGGCTTGGGCGAGGGGCCAGACCCCACTCCTTGCTCTCCTCCTGCCTGCTCCCCCTATTGCCTGCCCCCATGCCACTCTGTGCCTGTGTCCGTCTCCTCCCTTTTCACAGCCTGACTCCCAAACCCCCTGCCCATCCTTGCCCACCCAATTTTATCTTCCTTTGGGGCAGTCAGCAGCAGTGTGGCCCAGCCCACTCAGGAAGAAGAGGCAGTAGCTCCCGACTGGGCCAGGTCAGGGTCAGAGCACAAGGTAAGAGGGGAGGGGGTAGCTGGGGGAAGGGGAGCAGGTGCCGCATAAGGGGAAAAGGCTAAAAGTTCACCTTACGGTCTCCCCCACATGCCACCTGGCTGCACGCTCCCTCCCTCCACTGCCAAACAAGTCGTTCGGCCCAGGGCAGCTGACAGCTCAGCCCTGGCTTTGGCCCCAAGCCCAGGCCAAAGTCCAAGCCGAGTCAGAGCCTGCCCCAAGCCAGTACTTGAATCCAAGATGAGGCTCCCCCTCCCCCTAAATAATGACCGGGGGGCGGGGGGGAAGGCATAGGTGGAGGGAAACAAAATTATTGCGGGGGGCCCCTGAGTGCGTGTGCACATGCATGCATTCTGCTGCCCCCCCAGGTAAGTCTATGGGGGAAGGGATGAGGGGAGGGGGCAGATTGAGGTCCCTGCAATGAGGAAGGGAGCGGGGCACAGGCAGAGGCAGGGTTTGGGGTGAATGGGGCCCCAGTCAGGCGGGGTGGTGGGACAATTGGAGCCTGGGAAGCTCATCCAGGGAGGGGGTGCTCCCACCACTGTGCATACCCCGGCAGAGGCCCAGGGGGCACGTGTCTGTCCGATCTGTGTGTGGGTCAGAGGCAGTGGCACAACACCACGTGCATCTCACTGCCAGGCAGCAGGGGGCATGGCACAGCCCAGCAGCAGCAGGCACATCACATTGCCCCGCTCCCCGGGCAGCTGCAGCAGGTGCAAGCTGTATGTGCCCCCTCAGTCCCCGCTGGGATGTGCACAGTGCACAGCAGCACGAGCCCCCGCCGGTCCCGGACAAGCTGCCTGGGCTCTGATTATCCCAGCACCTGGCTCAGACACAGCCCTATTCCCCCTAGCCCCTGCCTATGCCCAACTCCCTCCCTCACTGCTAGGGCCTCAACCCTGCCCCCACCCCCAAGCCCCTTCCCCTTCACAAAACAGACAGACTGATACTTGCCTGCTATGCTGGGCAGCCAATCATCCACATGCCAGGCTGTGATCCTGGCCGCATGCATGCCCCATCCCACCCCTGCTGCAGCTGCCCGAAGCCCGCAGCCAGGCTGCCTTATGGCCCTGCCTGCTGTCCCGCATTTGGAGGTGCTGAGCCTCATTAGCCCCAACCTTCTGCCACCTGAGGGGACCTTCATTTTGGATCCAAGTAAATAGGATACTACAATTTATAGGGTAGTGCTATACCTTCTGCAAAAGTGGGAGCACAAGAATTAAAATTCACAAACCTAATTAGGTTCAAGATGGCTGAGAAACATTTTGAGTAGACTAGCATCTCTTTTATATCCCTATACCCTGAGCCATGGATTAGTCACTGCAACTGTTCCCAAGGGACTTTTTTGTGGGCTGTGTATAACTGATCATCAACTATATCCTCTCTTCATCCACAAAAAGGTATAGCAAACAGGAGTAATGAAGAATTTAAACAGGACATCTTGGTGTCCTGTGACTAGTGGGGTCCCCCAAGGCTCTGTCCTTGGACCCATACTGTTCAACATCTTCATTAATGATGTGGACACTGGAGTCAGAAGCGGACTGGCCAAGTTCGCTGATGACACCAAACTTTGGGGAAAAGCATCCACACCAGAAGACAGGCAGGTGATCCAGGCTGACCTGGACAGGCTCAGCAAGTGGGCGGACGAGAATCTGATGGTGTTCAACGCCGATAAATGCAAGGTTCTCCACCTTGGGAAGAAAAACCCGCAGCATCCTTATAGGCTCGGCAGTGCTATGTTGGCTAGCACTATGCAAGAAAGAGACTTGGGGGTCATCATTGACCACAAGATGAACATGAGCCTGCAGTGCGATGCTGCGGCTAGTAAAGTGACCAAAACGCTGGCTTGCATCCATAGATGCTTCTCAAGCAAATCCCGGGACATCATTCTCCCCCTGTACTCGGCCTTAGTGAGGCCGCAGCTGGAGTACTGCGTCCAGTTTTGGGCTCCACAATTCAAAAAGGATGTGGAGAAGCTTGAGAGAGTCCAGAGAAGAGCCACGCGCGTGATCAGAGGTCAGGGAAGCAGACCCTACGATGACAGGCTGAGAGCCCTGGGGCTCTTTAGCCTGGAAAAGCGCAGGCTCAGGGGTGATCTGATGGCCACCTATAAGTTTATCAGGGGTGACCATCAGTATCTGGGGGAACGTTTGTTCACCAGAGCACCCCAAGGGATGACGACTAGGTCGAATGGTCATAAACTACTACAAGACCGTTTCAGGCTGGACATAAGGAAGAATTTCTTTACTGTCCGAGCCCCCAAGGTCTGGAACAGCCTACCACCGGAGGTGGTTCAAGCACCTACATTGAACACCTTCAAGAGCACACTGGATGCTCATCTTGCTGGGATCCTATGACCCCAGCTGACTTCCTGCCCTTTGGGCAGGGGGCTGGACTCAATGATCTTCCGAGGTCCCTTCCAGCCCTAATGTCTATGAAATCTATGAAATAAATATAGTGCATACAATCTTACACACTTCTTTATGTAAGAGGTAACTGGAACAGAAAGAATAAAAAATAAGTTAGAAGCACTGAGAGGAGAAAATAAAATATAGGTTACCAATACTATGAATACACGGTTTTAGACTACATATTGTGCCTTTCTGTATTTCAAAGTAAATCTTCCATAGTTACCATTTCATTTTTCTTTTTTATAGTAAAAGATCTTCATTAAGCCACTGTGTAAAATAAAAATCTTTGGAAATATTATTAGAAAAAAAAACTGTAGAACAACCACTATTACAGAAGTCACTACTGAATGTTAGAACTTTGCATCAAAGAACTGAAATACCTGTACACTTTTAGTGTTGGTATTCAGATTAGGTTTACCATATTTCCGGTTCCAAAAAAGAAGACACCTGTTGGGGCAACACCTCACAGCCAACCCACAACCCCCTGGCCCTGCCAGTGCTCCTCATTCATAACCTGCAGCCCCCTGGCCCTGCTGGTGCCCCTCACTCCCAAACCATAGCCCCCTGGCACTGCCAGTACCCTGCACTCCTTCCCCCCACCCCTTCAGTGCTTCTCACTCCCAAAACACAGTCCCCTCCCCCACAGCCCTGCCAGAGGGGGCCCCCAGCTGCCCCCATCCCAACTGGGCCAGAGCGCCTGGCATAGACTGGAGGGAAGAGGAGAGGATGCCTAGGCTGAGGCTCCAGTGCTGTTCCAAGTGGCCTGGCCATGCCCCTCACCCCTGGGCAGCAGCCCCTGGCCACCCTGCCCCTGCAAGCACAGGCACCAGGCCCTGAGGCTGCCAGCCTGGCTATGGAGCTCCCTGCTGCCCTCAAAGGCCCACCCCCCAAACCTCTTCTCCCACTGGAAGGGAAGGTGCCTCCCATCTGCCCTGCTGCTGCCCAGACAACTTCCCACAGTACCAACAAGCACCCGCCCCCCTCATACACCCACCAATCCACCACCAGGACAGTTCCCAAGTCCTGGTCTTCCAAACCCTGCTCCCCAGACTTACCTGCCTGGCTGCATGCTGGCCACATGCCTGTGCATATACATGGTGCTCCCTGCCTCCAATCACCCTCCCCCTGCTCCCACCACCAAAGCAGGGCAAAATCCCAGACATTTGTTCAGATTTCAAAAAACTACCCAGATGGAGATCAGAGGACCCAAAAAGAGGACAGATCTGGGAAAAGCCAGACATATAGAAACCCTACTTCAGATACTTCCACTCCCTTTTAAGGGATAAACCCTCATAGTCCAGGGCAGGGCTCTCCAGCTGGCAGCCCACAGGCTACATCCAGCTTACAAGCAGTTAAAATGAAGCCCTCAGTCTCCTGCCTGGCTGCTGCTCTCATCCCATTGCTCCTGCTGCTCTCACTGGAAGGACAACCTTGTAAAAGAGCTGCTTGTGTACTGCAATGAACTACTCAAACATCTTTGCAAGCCAATAATATATACAAATGCTCCAAGTTTAGACGTGTGCCACCTCAAGTTGCAAATTCCTGGTGTTTTATATTAAAACCACTAGATTTAGCTTTTTACCCTAAACATAAGAAGAAAATCAGATTGCCAGAAGCAACTGTTTTATATTTTTAGAGCTTAAATTTGGGTTTAATTTTCAAATGAAAGCACCTGAGGAAAAAAACATTTCTTACTAATTTGGCTGGCTGGGCTGAGCTGTTCAAGACAAAACAGAAAGAGAAGCAAACTGAAAAAAGAAGGAAGGCGGCTCTACATTAACCACTGCTTAACTCCTGAAGAACATTTTAAAAGAAGCAAGGACTGGACCAACTACAAGACTGCGGTACATTTAGACAAGTATGAGACCGGTGTAAGACCTAAAGAACTGCACTGCATTTGAGAACTTGTCTAAGTCTATCCCAACCATGCAGTTGGTCCAATAAGAGATCACCCACACAAATCCTCACCTCACATATTTCCTGCATCATCACAGCTATAACGTCACTCCAACGCTACCAAAATATTTTAAGGTTTAGAAACGTTACTGATTAAAGGAGGACAGAGTAATGAAAGAGACTGGGTAAAAAATTATCTTCATCCTATTAAAACTTCCATGAACCTCACCCTATAGCTTTTTAGTTAACAGAGAGGATTTCACGGAGTGTAAACTCTTGGCAGCAGCGACTGTACTTAAGCAACAGGCACAAGGCTCTGTTGCTTAGTAGGACTTCTGGCAGTGCCACAACAAAAGCAAATGCCTATCCTCAACTAGTTGTAGAAGACTGCTGAAAACAATGCAACACCTCCCTCAGAGAAAGACACAGACTAGAACCACCTGGCACCTACACACATGTTCTGGGGTAGGGAGAGACATTTTAATTAGAGCAGCTCTTGGGAGCCACTTTAATTAAAATGCCCACATTGGCTCATGTATTCAGTGTCCCATATTTCAAAGAGGCAGCGGGGGTGCTTTAACTAAAACTTGAGCTTCAGCTAAAACACCCCCACTGCCATTTTGAAATGCAGAGATGCTGAATACAGGAGACACTGCCACATGCTGGAGCATTCCAACTGGACTGATGGATTCAACAGCTATTAAAGCGCCAATAAAACCTGCTGAAGTGCACGATCTATGCAGATGTTGGGCAAGCCATGTAAAACTGATGAGGTTCTTCTTCTGACCGTGCACTGCAAGCTAAAAGTAAAGCATTGCTTTTTTTTTTTCTTCCACATCTGTCAGTAGCCTTAGATTGCTCCTTTTTAATCAGAATGTAGGGGTGCACTGATAAAGATTTTCTTGGCCAATAGCCGATTATTAACCAGCCATATCAGCCCATACTGATCCAATAGCTGATTTACAGGAATGCAGCTAGGCAGTTTGGAGAGCAGCATCCTGCTGGTAAGTCTGTGTCTGGGAAGGGGCGTGGCAGGGGGCAAAAACAGACTGAAGCCCCCATGGCGAGGGAGGGAAGCAGGCAGGGGCAGGCACTGCCCACTTAAGCCGGTGAATAGGATCCCAGGGCCAGGAGTGGGACAGAGCCGTGAGTGGCTTGTCCAGGGGCCACGAGGTAGGGGGCTGGGGGGGCAGCTCCCCACTGCTGCATACAACTCTGTGGGAGACATGGAGGGCATGTGCATGGAATGAGGGCAGGTTTGGGGCCAGGGGATGCCGGCTTGGGCCAAGGGATGCAGCAGCCTCTTTCCGGAAAAGGGGCTGGGCCAGCTCAGGCAGCAGCAGTAGTGTTGAGGCGGTGGCTACAAGGGGGACTACAGGGAATTTTGGGGTGGCCATAGCCCCCTAAGTCCCTTCCTAGTGCTGTCCTTGTTCTGGGCACCAGGGCTCCCGAGGGAAAGACAGCAGAACAGAGTGCCCCAAGCAGGGGCAGAACTAAGGGGGGCTTGGTGGGCAATGGCCACCCCAAAATTCCCTGTAGTCCCCCCATAGCCACCCCTCCCAGTGCCACTGCCAACACCTGCCCCACACAGCTGAGCCCATCCTACCTGCCTTGAGTGCAGCCCTGACCCAGCCCACCTACCAGGAAGAGGCTGGCACAGCCCCTATCCCTGAGCCCACACTAGGCAGCCTGCCTCTGCCCCACAAACACACACAAATCCAGGGGGCACATGGCCCCCATACCTCCCCCCAGGGGTGCACACAGCTGCAGGGAGCTACACCCCTCCCCACCCTCCTGCGCCCTCTGGACAAGCTGCCCATGTCCCTGTCCCGCTCCTGCCCCCAGGATGCTATTTACTGCCCTGGCTGGGCAGCACCTGCCCTTGCCCCAGCTCCTGCCTCAGCATAGGGACCTCTATCTGCCCCCCCACAATGTCCCTTCCCTCCCCCACACCCCTCCCCCAATCAGACTTACTGGCAGGACACTCTTCAAGCTGCTGGGTTGCATTCCTGGTTGCGTGCATGCACACCACATTTATCGGTGATATTATCAGCCAAAAAAAAGCTGACTGCTGATAATGTTAATTTTACTGTTATTGCTGCTGATCCAAAATGCGACCAATATATTAATGCAACTCTCTCAGAACGTTGTAGATTAGGAAACATTTGCACCAGTGTACAAAAGACGATGATTTTACATGACTAAACTGCTTCAAGATCACTTCTGTTACCATAGTGAGAAATCATATCACTTTACCTGCACAATCTGTTCTCTCAGCATTCTGCTGTGTAATGAACTGCCTTTGAGACGCATGAAATGCCCTTGCTTTTCATACCAAGAACATTTCTTCAAGACACAGAATCACAGAAATTAAGGGCTGGAAGGGATCAAATGATCTCAGCAAGGTGTCTGTCCAGTCTCCTCTTGAAGACTTCCAAGGTTGGGGACTGTACCACCTCCTTGGGAAGTCTATTCCAGATTCTGGTTACCCCTACTGTAAAGAAGTTCTCTCTCACATCCAACCTGAAACCATCCTCTAACAGTTTATGCCCACTGCTCCCTAGTGAATGTTTTTTCTCCCAACTCCCAATATCCACTCCTTACATGTCAGGTCCAATTCTTCTTTGGGGTTACCTCCTCTACACCCCATCCAAGCTCCACCCAGTTGTTAAAACATCAGTTATGCCCTTGGCTGTCAGTGGGTGATCTCCTTTTCTTTGATGCTTTAGGCCTGCGGTCGTCTCGTGCCTGACTCGATACGGCAACTAAGCCAGCTAAAAGTCAGTCGGTCAGGGCCTAGTAAATGGAAGAGAAATGAACACCACCACAAAGCAAGGAAACTGGAACTCAGGTAAGAAGTCTCTTAGCCCCTAGGGCCGTTGCAACTGCTGGCTGCAGCCTCCAGCAACACAGTAAGTTAGCCCTGAGGGCTGCAGGCGATTCCCCAAGCCCCAGCCCTCTCAAATAAGAGAAACTCAAAGAAAAGCATAAGAGAATTTCTGGCCAATTTTTCCTATAAACTCAGGCATTTATATTGGCCTTAGACACTTTGGCGTCTGTCCCCTGTGCTTGTACGGCCCCAGTCAGTTCCTCAGGGGCAAATGGGCCTGTTTACCGTCCCTTACTAACTCAGCTCTGTTTGAGTAATGGAGTCCAATTCTCCCACCAGCATCCCTCCGGCCTGGGACTGTCGCTGGTTTTCCCTTTCCCCTTTTCCAGGTGGCTGGAGCCCAGCCTAACAGGCACCCCACCATCAGAAATGAAAGTAAAGAGAAACTAAATCAAAAAGACCTTGTCTGGAGTGTTTCCGGCTCTCCTGCAGCTGCCTTGCTCTCCTGGGGTGGCTTCCTGCCAGTTCTCCTTGCAGGTCTCGCTGTTGCGGGCTCAGTGGCAGTGTCCTGGACTATTGAAGCTCCTCCAAGCTCCCGAGCTGAAAAATCAACCTTCTCCCCATCTCCCGGGGTTCTCTCTCTAGTGTCCCAATGCTCCCAGGGTTGCATTCACCCTTGTCCATCCTGGCCTCCTTCCATTCTTGGCAGTGGGCCTGAAAAACCAGCACAGCCGCAGAGAGGGCCAATCCAGATGGAGCAGTTGCTAGTAAAGCAGAGCTCCTGCGGCAGCTGCTAGTCCATTGTTGTCAGCTCCGGCTGGGCCAGTAAGCTACTTTTCTCTCTGGCTGCAGGCTCAAAAGGGGTTTTTCTTGCCTCTTCACACATACAATCTCCATAGCCACAACCCAGTCCTCCGCTTTTAGACTTAAATGCAACACAAATATAAGCAAACCAGTTCACAAACTAAACTTTACCACTGCTCTGGGTCAATGCCCCCCCACCAGCCATTCTTCCCTTTTAGCTGCTCAATCTAGCTCCTCTGGGCAGCTTGGGTGTCCATCGGCCTGTTTCCTGAAGCCCTTCTCTCCCAGGAACTTCTTCCCCCGCAATATGCAGGGCCAAAGTGCCCCCTTTACCTCAGGCCCTAGGTTTATATACCTCTAAGTCACACCCCTTCCAGTCATGTGGCTCCCGAGCCACACACAGGGCTTTCCCTTTTTCCTAATGGCCAGCCTGTGCTCCTCTGCTACAGCCCCACACAGCAGGCTTGGCCTGCTGCATTCTCCACTTACATGGCCTGCATATATTCATATGCAGATATAATCTGGCATGATAAAAGGCTACTAACATTGTGCAGGGAAGAAAGAATGTGCACACAACCAATTTTTTTTTTTGCTGGACAAAGCTTGTCTAGCAAGTTCCTTACCAACAACCTTGTGAGGAGCCTGCACACACAGGTGGACTCTGCACTGGCTTGATTACAGTAAAAATACTGTAGAATGGGAGAGATTCTGGAGTTGTGAAGTAGACAAGCATAGGGAACAAGCATGAGATTTTACCGAGGACAGATGGAGAGAAGTGAGAAAAAGTGAACCTAATACACAATGTTAGGAACACAACACATAATGAGAAAGCGAAAGAGAAGAGAAATTGGAAAGTTGGGAGAAAGAAGAGGATGGATACACACACAGGGGGGAAAAAAATAAGATAAAGTGTTAACAGAGACAATGGAAAACGATACTACAGAACACAGAAAAAAAGTAAAATTAAAGTGAAGAAAAGAACATTTTTGCTAGTTCCTATTTTAATTACAACAGCAGACGTAAAGTGAGCTAATGACCAATCGTGCTGTCTTTTAAATCAACATGTTAAAGCATGCTATCAGGAGAGAAATTCACCTAGGAACTAACCCAGATAGAGCTGTAAGTATCTATATTTTTACATCAGTTTTTATGTCAGTTTCCCCACACCTTTCTTCTGTGGTTGCATCTACCCTAGTTTCTATAAAATAGGGTTAGTTGCTGTAGCCCTCCAAAACAAAAAAAAAAAAAAAGGTTTTTTTGAAAACTACAAAACTATATTGATTATTCAGCGGTGTCATTTGCAGCAAGACAATGCACAGGGTTATACTGAGAGGCAGATTTTAAGATGAGAAGAAGGTCTGAGTTCCAATTGCCTAGAGATAATAAGAAACTGCATGACATTTTAAAAGAAAGTCATTACCCTTGGCCAAAGTCCAGCTAGGACAACTACATTCTACCTATCCAAGTTCTCAGGGGTTTTTTGTACTGGAGATTTCACCTTGCTCCTTGTTGCCACTCTCAAAAATAACAAATATAGTGGTATCGGCACTAACTATCAAACACAAGGTGTCAAATTCACCCCAGGCTGGATCCAGACAAAAAGGGCTACCATGTTATTAGCAAGGGCTGTATTTACCTGAATCCAAGATGAATCCGAATTTAAGACAACCCTCCAATAATTAGTTTCTATGTCTGGAAAATTTATAAATGTGTTATAATTTTCCACGTTCAGAACATAATTACTGGAAGATCATCTTAGATTTTCCCCCTACAGCTGCAGCATGGAAAGCAGCAGCAGAGTGGGCAGATGGTGGGATCAAGCCATTTGACCCCTGTCCCTTGCTCCCTATGCCTGTCCCCTCTATTTTCTCCCCGTTTCATCGACACCTGCCCCCCTGCTAGCTGCTGCCCCTACAATGCCTGCACCCCATCCCCTCCCCTCCTACCACTCTCTGCCATACCCCCTTGCATTCACCAACTTTCACCCCAGCAGGGCTCCAGTTCTACTCCAGCCTGGGGCACAGAACACATGTCTGCTCTAGCCCCAGTACACCCCAGTAGTAGGTGTGGCAGTGACAGCATCTCCATCCTGGGCTCTGGGGCCAAGTGGGAGCTGCTGCTACTACATCAACTCAAATGGCACAGAAACCCTGCTAGAGCCGGAGCCAGAGCAAGGTTAAGCAATAGGGGAAGGAGAGGCTGCCGGAAGAGGTAGGCAGGGGTGAGGCATCAGCTGCAGCTCTGACCCCCCACCCCGACCCCCCACCTTGCATTCGAATCCAAGACAAGGGATTCCCCGCCCCCACCATCCATGTTAAACAGAAGGAGGGGTATTGTCTTGGATTAAAGTAAATACAGTTAAGTTATTGTAACTTAAAAAGTTTGTTCCTTACTTCTAGTCTGAAAGTATCTAATTTCCAGCCATTGATTCTTACCTGTCAAATTAAAGAGCATTTTTATCAACTTTGTGTTACCAATGTAGGCATTTCTGATGGATCAAGTCATCCCTGAACCTGTTTCAATAAGCTAAGATGACATAGCTTCGCAAGCCTCTTAAGTATATTTTCTAATCATTCTTATGGATGTTCCCTGAACCCTCCGCTGTTGGTGTCTGTACTTCAACAATATTAAATAAAGATACTTCAGCAGAGGTCAAAAGTGCCAAATAGCGGGGTAATGGAACCTCTTCTCTTATTCACCATTCTTATTTATATCTCTAAGAATCATCCCAACTCTTTCACTCAAAAGCACTGCACTGAGAATCATGGTTCAACTGCCCAAAACCCCTTTTACAGTCGCTCCTTCCTGTAAATATAGCCTACATTCAGCTATACTAAAGTGCTCATTCCATCCCAGGCACAGTTAAGTGACTATATATTACTGTCATCTCAGTTTGTACAATTTTCTTCTAGTAAGCTCCATGGGTTAGCAGCATTTGGGTATAACAGAACATTACTTTTAATGGTACTCATAGCAATTACTGTGGTTTTGTTGATGTAAGCCACTTTGCGACCACAAGCTTTGCATGAATTATTTGTATTTTTTAATTTCTCACAGTGAAAGAATATTCATATTGTAAAAGTGTTTTTGCCTGTAGTGAACAAAGGACCCAAGACCAAGAGGACTTTACATGTAGGAGAAAGATGGCAAGGACTCCTGGCTGCATCAAACAAGCAAAAATTCTGAAAAATTCAAAAATTTTTCCTTTTGAGGAACATTCACACATTTTATTTACCAAGATAGACAAAAGGCAGAGGACCATGCAAACACAGGCGGTAAGAAGACAGATTGCTCAATTTCAGGGTAAGAGGAAAGATGCAATTTGCCATATTTATATCAATACAAGATCTCACTACTATGAGTTAGTTAAAGAAATATGTTTAGAACCTTCCTTCAAAGGCTATACAAATCTCCACTCTTTTCAACTCAAGTTTTAAAGACATGCTCCTATTCCGCTGTCACATGTGATATCCTTTCGAAATATGGCGGCCAAAACATTAAAATGTTATTTTTCAAAAGCACAAAATAATATGCAGTGGCGACTGCATATTAGAGGTGCACCAATACATCAGTCCGGTATCAGATCGGTACAGATATTAAAAAAAACTGGCTGTATTGGATATCGGCCTGATAGGGCCAATAATTTGGCAGATAAACGCCTGTCAGCACAGCACTCAGGCAGCGTGGAACAAAGCTGGGAGCGTGGAGATCTGCCTCCAACTGGTAAGTCCGGTGTGGTGGACAGGGAGTGGGGAGGATCAAACACCCCCCGCAGTGAAGGATAGGGCAGGTGCTGCACAAGTGGGGCAGGGGGGAGGGGGGGGGAGGAGGCATGCCCCTGGACCTGCATTGGGCAGAGCAGGATGAGGCGGGTTGCAGCCGGGGCTGCATAGGGCTATTCTCGATGAGGGCTGGGCTTGGATCAGGCACCGGGAGGATGCTGCATCTACCCCAAATTTTGTCACCACTCTGCTCCCAGTGCTGCCACTGCCAGATACTCAGCACAGCCCTGGCTCTTCCAGGTGCATGGGCAGAGGTGGGGCATTTAGCCGGGGTTGTGCTGGTTGGTTAGCGGCGGCGGTGCTGGGAGCGGAGCAGCAGTAAAGTTTGGGGTGGCTGCAGCATCTTCCCAGCGCTGCCAGCACCTCAGCGGGGGCTAGGCTTAGAGCAGAAGAGCCCTGCCCAGCTCCTGCTGCAGCCTGCTCTGTGCAGATCCAGGGGGCACATGCCGCCCCCCCCATGCCCTCGCGGGGTGTAAGCAGCAGCAGGAGCTGTGCCCCCTGCCCTGGCTGGTCAGCACCTCTCCCTGCCCCTCCCTCACCATGGGAGGCGGTGATCTTCACACTCCCTCATGCCCATTCACCACACTAGACTTACCATCTGGAGGCATCTGTATCAGAAATTGGATCTTATTAGCTGATTTGACTCCTTAAATATCAGCTATCGGTATTGGCCCCAAAAATCTCTATCGGTGCACCCCTATTGGATATTAGATTGTACGATCTCAAATTTCATTTAGGACTAAGTCACAATACTCCAAAAGATGTGAAGATAAAACTTCTGGGTGTAATAAATGACTCCTTTCTAGAAAAATGCATCCTGAAACGCACAAGAGAAGCAATTCTAAACCCAATCCCGAGTAACACACAGGACCAGGTTCAAAAGGTATCATAGAAGAGCCACTTTGCAATGGCGACCAGAACAATAAAATTTAAACAACATAGCATGGTGGATTTGTTTGGCTTACTCTCTCCCACTGACATACAACTTGAGGAAAAGAAACTACATAAAAATGAGGAAGTTAAAAAGAAATTAAAAAGAGTAGTAAAAAAACCCAAAAAAACAGGAGGCCTGCAGACAGCCTGGAAGCTGTTTAAAAATACTATATTAGAGGCTCAGGAAAAGTGGATATTGTATTTAGAAAGGGTAGCAAGCAGTCCAATAAAACCCTTGTATGGTTTCATGGCAAGGTTAAGGAGGCCATTAAAGGCCAAAAGGCCTCCTTCAAAAAAAAAAAAAAAAAAAAAAGTGTCATCAAATGAAGAAAACAGGAAAGCATACAAACTCTGGCAGGTCAAGTGTAAAAGCAAAATAAGTCAGGTAAAAAAAGAATTCAAGGGACACCTTGTTAAAGATGCTAACGTTAATAATAAGAGCTTTTTAAAATAAGCAGAAACAGGAAGCCAGCAAGAGAACCAGTACAACTGTTAGATGACCAGGCATAAAACAATGAACTTTGAGATGGTAGAGCCATATTAGAGAAGCTAAATGAATTGTTTGCATGTTTTTGCTGCAGAAACTACTGGGGGAATTCCCATACCAGATCAGTTCCTCCTAGCAGATAAGTCTGAAGTGACACTAGAAGAAGTTTCAGAACAAGCTGATAAACACTAATGGGTCACTGGGACAAGATGGCATTCACCTAAGAGTTCGAAAGGACTTCAAATGTGAAACTGAAGAACTACTGGCAATAATATGCAACCTATCATTACAAACAGCCTCTGTGCCAGAAGACTAGCAGGTTACCTTATCGTCAAAAAGGGCTCCAGAGGCGATCCTGGGAACTAGACCAGTGAGTCTCACTTCCATACCTGGCAGAATCTATAATAAAGAATAAAAGTCAGCAGTCACAATACCAGGCACTGGTACAGATTGGTTACACACTAGCTAAGCAGCAGTTTTGCAAAAGAGGACCTGGGACAATACAGTGGACAATAAGCTGAATATAAGCCATCAGTGTACCCTTGCTGAGAAGGTGACTAGCAGCATACTGAGCTGCAACAGCAGCAATATTACCAGCAGATCAAGGAAAGTGATTATTTCCCTCTATTCAACACTGATGAGGCCACATCAGGGGTACTGTGTTCAGTTTTGGGCCCCCACTACAGAAAATATATGGAGAAATTGGATCGAGTCCAGCAAAGGGCAATGAAAATAATTAGGGGGCTGGGACACAGGACTTCTGAGAAGAGACGAGGGAACTGGGTTTTTTTAGTCTGGAAAAGAGAAGACTGAGAGGGGATTTAATAGCAGCCTTCAACCACTTGAAGGGGGTTAAAAAAGGGGTTGGAGCTAGACTGTTCTCAGTGGTGGCAGATGACAGAATAAGGAAGACTGGTCTCAAGTTGAAGCAAGGAAAGTTTAGGTTAGATATTAGTAAAAACCTCTTACTAGGAGGCTAGTAGAGTACTGGAACAGGTTACCCAGAGAGGCTGTGGACTCTCTGCCCTTGAAGGTTTTTAAGATCCAGGCAGATAAAGCTTTGGCAAGGATGATCTAGCTGGGGATGGTCTTGCTTTGAGAAGGGGCTTGGATCAGATGACCTACTGAGGTCCCTTCCAACATTGATTTTCTATGATCCTACATGGAAAAATATGACATGCTGGGGAAGAGTCAGCATGGGTTTTGTAAAGGGAAATCCTGCCTCACCAATCCATTCAAGTTATTTGAGAATGTTAACAAGCATGTGGACAAAGGGGATCCAGGTGACATAATATATTTGGATTTTCCAAAACTTTCAATAAGATCCCTCACTGAAAGCTTGTAGAGGCAGATAGTACAGTCAGATTCAAAGGGACTCAATAAATTCATAGATGACAGATCCATTAATATAGTAAATAAAAGAGTCAGGGAGGCTATGACAGGGATAAGATCACTCTAGATAGAACCTGTTCATGTGTACTCCCCTCTAAAGTATCCCCTACCTACCACTGTTAGAGACAAGATACTGGGCTAGATGAAGCATTGGTCTGGCCCATTATGACACTTACATTCTTATTCCATCAATAACTATGCTCCCACTTCAGAAAAAAGACCTTAAAAAGTTTATTGGCTGAAATCTTGGAAGTTACGCAAAAGCAAGAGACGAAATGCCTACTAATAGTAAAAAAACCACTTCTTCCACAGCTTACGGGTCAATTACAAGAACAGTACTCTGTGAAAGTTTGTTTTTAAAAGATCAGTCCACAATGGGAAGTGTGCTCAGTCAAGCATAAGTACAGAGGAGTAGTTAGCTGCATTAGACTGAAGTCAGGCAGAAGACAGGACAAGAGTAGCACCTTACAGATTTTACTGGATCACTGAGGTATAAGGTTCCTGAAGATCAAGACTGCCTTCTATGAAACCTTATACCTCTCTGAGCCACTTACGTCTCTAATGTACTATCTGCCCCAAATTCAGTCAAGCAGTTACAGCAGGCAGCTCTGAAAACCACTGAACTCATGCTTAATGAG